AACCTGAGATATGGCAGGTTTACAATGTGCAGAAACATTTGCTGACTCTCAGTGTTCAAGAATCAGGCAGGGCTGGGAAGGTGGCTCAGTGGTAGAGCACTTGCCTTGCATGTATGAGGCCCTGGGTTCAATTCCTCAGCACCACATAAAAAGAAAAAGCTGGAAGTGGCGCTGTGGCTCAAATGGTAGAGCACTAGCCTTGAGCTGCAGAGCTGAGGCACAGCACCCAGGCCCAGAGTTCAGGCCTTACGACCGACCCAAAAAAAAAAAAATCAGGGAAACAAATCTTTTTACTTTTAACTCTGGTTGTTAGCTGTGTTTCCTTTTCCTGTCTTAGAAAATAAGCTAAGTTAAAATTACTTTTCTCTGTTAAGATTGTAATTACCTCAGGATAATTTGGAACAGAAGCTATGAGTACTAAATAATATTAAATGTAGATACAGAATCATAGAGAAATAGTGGATCCAACTTAAGGGGCACTGATCTCAGAGTATACTCTGGAAATATATATTTAAAAAAAAATCCTTATGAGCCATACCTTTTGGTCTTTTTTTCACAAAAATCAAAGGAATAAAAAATAGATTATTTAAAGCCACTTCATCAAGGCCAACCAAAAAAGTCAGTGTGCGAGAGTAGAATGAGTTCACTGAACAACTAAATCAGATGTTTACTCTGTGCTAACTAAAGGCTATGATGCTGAAGATCCTTCCACCATTGTTTAAAGTACACCAATGGGTATTTCAGTGTCACTGCAGTAGGATAAATAGGAGTTTCTGCTAAATTTTTCCTTGATTTCTTGTAACTGCATAGCATCTGGAGTGCTACAGAAGGACATCAACTACAACAGTTGACTTATGTGAATGACTAAATCTCTTTTATTCACCCAGTTAAGAATTGTACTTTCTGTTGGGGGTGCTATTTTTAGGGGGAGGAGAGAATGATAAAGGGTTGAAATTGATTGGAATGAAGTGTGAACATGTATGGAGATGTAACAGTGGAATCCTTCCCTTACATAATACAAGCCAGTAAAAAAAAAAAAAATTAAACCTTCTAAGGAAATGGCCCAATCTATGCCACTTTGTTTTATAAGGGATCAGTAAAAATGGAAAATTCACCTGAAGAGTAGAATAACAAGTTGTATCACTCTGACTTCAGTAAGGACTACTATTGATTATCTACATCCTTTTCTTTAGGTAGGCATACAAGAAAAATGAGAAAAATGCCTCCACCTTCTAAGGTAACCAACCTATTCTGCATCAAACTATCTTCTATCAATATATGCACACAATATGAACAATGGGGGAGGAATTCACATCCCTCATCTTAACTTCAGGTCCATTCTTCCATTACTACTATCTAATTGTATCTCAGATGCAACAGGATCTTAAGCATGTTATATTAATTCAATTATTTTTCTTTTTTTCTTAGGGTAAATCATATACTGTGATCACAAAAATTAAACTTGGGGGGGAATTTTTACTTTAGAACTTGAAATCAAGGTATGTAAACAATATTTGAGACACAGGAGTGTAGAACCTCCAGCTTGTGCATTGTGTAAGATCCCTGAAATCAGGGATTTGCTTCTTGTGTGCTTCTCCACAGTAACCCCCAGCTGTGTACCTATATTGATAATTTTATGTGGGCCATATGATGTTATATTCAAATGACCGTTGGTAGGAAAAAGGTTCCTCACCCAATATAATAGAAATATTAAATCAAGTCTAACAATTCATAAGGAATTTACACATCATTAACAATATTTCTATTAGGTATCTAAATTAATGTGTGCTAAAGAGAAACATTTTGATTATCTAGCAAAAGTTGCCAAAAAAAATTGGAGTGTATTTTATAACATGGAAAAAATGATCAATATGTGATAGGAAAATTCAGTAAGAATAGGAATGGGCCAATAATTTAGCAAGATTTTATAAAGACATCATAGCCAATAATAAATTAATATTTTAGTACATTTAAAAGGATGATATAAGCTAATTGGATGGTAATATTTAATGGTTCACTTTAGAGAAGGAAGAGGTGGTCATGAGTGAGACAACAGAAACTGTTGCATCACATTGGTTAAGGAAAGGAATTCAGAACGAGTAATTCCAAAGCAAATCATTAAAAAGAGAAATCAGACTCAGAGGAATGCAGGCCTAGACACTATGGGGAGGTTATGCTATCCTTTCTTCCTGTATATTCTCCATCTTGTTCGTCGTCCTTAGTCCCCCTTACCTATCTTCTATTTCTGCTTTTTCCTCCCCTGCCATTTCCCCTTCTCTTCTTTCACAAGTCTTTTATTTAGGTGACTTGAACAGAAACATATTAAGATATTAAGCCTATGCTGTTCAAGTTTTTATTTACCCAGAGCCTAGGCTTCAGGTGTAGAGAACTCTGAAGCTGTGCTGTGAAACCTGGAAAAGCAATGCTGAGAGCTGGCCATGGAAGGGTTAAAACAGACAGGTCTGGAGAGGGTTAAGAGACTTGGAATGCTGCCCCCCTTCCTTAGTGTTGGAAAGCCTTGTATGCTGGAGACCTTGACAACTTAACCTTGGGGCTAGATAGAGTAGACTTCATGTCTGGACTTTCTCTGGGCTGCAGCCTCCAGTCTCAAAAGAATAAGGGAACCAGTGTCTCTCACACACTCTGTTTTGGTTCTGATTGTAATATTAATATAAATGCTTTACTTTTTGCATGTATCCATGTAACCTTCTTTGTGTGATCTCAAATAAATATGCTTGCTTATGGGAACTTGGACCCCACGTGCCCCTGGGATCCCTGGTGCCTGCTGATTTCCTTATCTTACCTATCTCTGCATTTCCTAATTTTCTTTGGCCTCAGTTGCAGTTAGCAACAACCAAGGTTTAGAGAGACTGTGATTTGTATAACTACATGCCCTGTCTTTATTCTTACCCATTCTCAATGTTTCCTTATAATACTACTTACTGACAGACCGGTTTATATGTAAAAAAACCTTTTGCCTGGAAGTATAGGGGAAAATAATGACCTTCTAAACTCAATTTCTTTTTGATTGTTCTCATCTCACAGATTAATTGCTGAAACAAGACAAAAATAGTGCGATAGACTAAAAATACTACTCATTATATTATATATTTTTATGTATATGTGTATGCATGTATGTTCAGTTTGGACATACTCTTAGGATTCTTAATTTACCTAGCCCTAAGAGCTACATGTGCTGATTTTCTGGGGAGCAAAATGCTTTGTTTTGTTTTGTTATATGTAGCTCAGGCTTGAACTATTTTGCCCAAGTTAGACTTGAACTTGAAATCTTCCTTGACTCCAGCCCCTGGAAGTGCTAGGATTACAGGAGTGTGCCACTATGCCTGGCTAGATGTGTCTTCTTGAAGAGACTTTGAAAATCATATTGCTGTGCCTTCACATACTGCTTGTGTCCATCTTAGCTAACACTTAGATGACAGGGAGATTCTGTTGTATATACATACATTGAAATTTAATCACTAATCAACTTAATTGCAAGAAATACGATTTAAAAGGGAAAATTCTAAACAAAATGTTAATAAAATCTTTAAAGGGACAGATTTATCCTATGGACTAAAAACAAATATAAGATGCTCTTAATCAAGACTTTCAGTTTATATTTAACTCATTAATTTCCTTCAGTCTTTCCCTAATTTATCACTACTGCCCTCTTCAATTCATTTTTGGACCATTTGGAAAGAAAGTAGGAGCTTCTGCCATGAGAATCTCTATTCTAGATTGACTTAAATAAAGTCTAGCCCTTTGAAGCCAGCTCTAATTTCCAGGAATGTTTTAGGTATTAATCATCCCTTAGCACTTCTTCATTCTTTATACCAATCATTTGTACTGTCTTCACACAAATAATAAGCTAGCTATCTTTAAAGGTAAGTTTTTTTAAAAATCCATAGAATTGATTTAACCTACTCAAATCCCCATAACTGATAGTACTATTGTGATAAAGGAAGTCAATCATAGAAACGGAAATAAAAAATAGGGTCAAATTTATAGCATACATTTTAATACTTTAAAAATTCTTTTTTTTTTTTGGTCCAGTCGTGGGGGCCTTAACTCTGGGCCTAGGCACTGTCCCTCAACTCTTCAGCTCAAGGCTAGTGGTCTACCACCTGAGCCACAGTGCCACTTCCAGCTTTTTTCCTTTTGCTTATGTGGTGCTGAGGAATTGAACCCAGGGCATCAGGCATGCAAGGCAAGCGCTCTACCACTGAGCCACCTTCCCAGCCCAATACTTTAAAAATTCTTTATTTTGCCTGAATTCTTGTTTATTTTAGGCTTATTCTAATTTATTTAAAGCTAGGGGTCTGTATACCCATATTTATTCATAAACTTTTCCAGGTTTGTTAGAATTTGCAAATTTGTTCATTTGGGAAACTTGTATTGGGTCCTATGCTAGTGTCTAAAAGATTTTTTCCCCTTAGGAAATTCCAGAAAATATTAAAATTTCTGATTACTTGATAGTGAGACATTAGAAGACAAAATGAAAGCACAGTTGACAGATACCAAGTCAAACTGCATTCTATTTTTTCATCTTAATTAATGAGTAAGAAAGGGCTCTACATCTGAAGAGGACATTTCATTTTAATCTCCTTTGAAGCTAAATCCTTTTATAAGGGCTGTTACTCCCCAAGAAAAAGACACCAATTAGTGTTCTAATCAACAAAAGGGAAGTAACAAAGGAGGATGGAAATTCTAAGTTTAAAATAGATCCCTTTCCCCAAACCAATACCTCACCTCTCCCTGTTTGTTTTTGTCATTGCTGTTTTTACCCTGGGCAAATAACTCCACATTCTGGGTTTGATTTGTTTTATCTATCAAATGAGTATATTTTCCTCCAAACCCAATAGCAAGGCTAGAAGACTGATCAAGGGTCCTCCCATTCAAAAATACAATCTAGGCATTTCTAGCTCCAAACTGGCAAGCAGGAATCTTCTCAGGGGAAAGTCTAGGAAAGTACAACAAAGGAGGCCGAAGCCAGTTCTCACCGAGAGGATCTTATCACCCTCCTGGAGCCGCCCATCCTGGGCTGCAGCCCCATTCTCTTTGATTCGGCTGACGTAGATGCCACTGTCATTGGAGACATACTGCTGATCTGTCCCACCGACGATGTTGAAGCCCAGCCCTGAGAAAATCATGGAAAAGTGAAGGAGATGGGGTGAAGAAGAAAGAAAAGCATTAGAGAAGAAGAGAAGGAAGAAAGAGAAAAAGCCCACTTGGGGAATGGGGGAAGAGGCTGGCAAGCTGGACTGTGAGGTAGCTAGTGAACACTTATGAGCAAGGTCAATAAGTAATAACACCAATAAAGGCCATTCCCACTTAAATCAGGTGGTAACAATATAAAAACAGTGATGAAGATGGCATGTTGAGCATATAAAGATCTATACACAACTTAAAGAATAGTGGTGATTCTTTTTTTTTTTTTTTTGTCGGTCGTGGGGCTTGAACTCTGGGCCTGGGCGCTGTCCCTCAGCTCTTCAGCTCAAGGCGAGCGCTCTACTAGTGGTGATTCTTGTAAGATGAAAGAACTTCTCATCACATTTGATTTTAATGCTGTTGATGGCATTCAGAGAACTCAATTATGGCTATTTCTGGTACTAATGTAATAAGGTCAGCTTTGCTCAGAAGAAGCTGTGTAGTTATTTATTTTTATTGTGTATGTAGTTATTTATTTTAAATATGTATGTATGCACACAACAGGTGTACATGCCTGCATGTGTGCAAGTCCTGGGGCTTGAAGTCAGGGCCTAGGATTTTTTGCTCAAGGCTAGTACTCTACCACTTGTGCCACAGCTCCACTTCAGGCTTTTTTGGTGCTTAATTAGAAGTAGGGGTCTCACAGACTTTCCTGCCCAGACTAGCTTTGAACCACGATCCTCAAATCTCACCCTCTTGAGTAGTTAGAATTACAGACATAAGCCACTGTGCCCAGCTGTAGATGTGCTTTTAACCAACGAGCAAATGCACTATTTCTAATTCAATGGGGAAGGTTTCCTAACCAAATACCTTCACCTCCATACTTTTCTTCTTCAAAGATTCTGGAGGGTTTGTGTATAGTAGAGTTGCAGATAAATTAGAAAAAGTGGCCTTGGGCACTAGTTTTGGCAAGAAACCCCCTGCTTCAGGGTAGCACTAGATTACCCATTTTATTCTTCTTCTTCAACTTCAAGTACAAACAACCACATATAATGGCCAAGTTTTACTCACTCTAGAAGAAAGTAACTACTCACTAGCAACTTGCCATCCCCTTCCACCCCAGTCCCTGGTATCCACCATCCTGTACTTTGTTTCTATGAGTCTATTTTAGTTGTGTGTAAATTTTGAGTTGTGGAAAAAAGTTCTAGATCTGCTGTACCACACTATGCCCAGAGATAAAACACTATATTGTACACTTCAAAATCTGTTAATAGAAAAGATCCATGTGTTCTTATCACAATAAAATGCAATAAAACAAGTACAGAAAGCCAAAAGCTAGTTAGCTAACTTTACCAAAGTGTTATTTCCATGATTCAACTACTAAGTTGTAAAAAGAAAAGGATCTCACTTAACAGAAACTGCTGTCATGAAGGTTTGTTTGGTTACCTATACAAGAAGGAGGAGGAGGAGGAGGAGGAAGAAGAAGAAGAAGAAAGAAGAAAAGGAAGAAAGGAAGGAAGAAAGAAAGAAAGAAAGAAAGAAAGAGGAGGAGGAGGAGGAGGGAATTTTGTGCAGCCTTGTTTTGTTAGCTACTGCTATAATTCGGGACCACACTGAAAAGGAAGACAATTAGGGACCAACTGAAAGATGAAAATTTATCAGTATAATTAGATGGAATCCGAGTCACTATTATGACCAGTCTACTACTGGTCTCAACACAAAATTAATTCCCTAAGAGACATATGTGGACTTTTTTTTTTTGTCAGTAGTGGGGCTTGAACTCTGGGCCTGGGCGCTGTCCCTCAGCTCTTCAGCTCAAGGCGAGAGCTCTACCACTTGAGCCACAGCACCACTTCCTGTTTTCTGAGTGGTTTATTGGAGATAAGAGTCACGAGGACTTTCCTGCCTGTGCTGGCTTTGAACCGCAATCCTCAGATCTCAACCCCTGAGTAGCTAGGATTACAGGCGTGAGCCAGGGCGCCCGGCCATATGTGGACTTTCTAAAAAGTACTTCCTATTGTTTGGATGAAGTTTACACCTAAAGCTCAGACTACTGAACACAGCACTAGAAAATCAATGTCATGAAATGAAAACCATAAAGAATCAGCAGAAAAACTACCATTTAATTAGCTTACCTTGTATGTGTAGTCTCTGCAGTCAGAGAAAGTCTGTATGTTCCTAGACCATTTTCTCAGAATAACCTTAATTTGTATCAGAATACTGAAGATACTGGGGAAGGGCTAGGAATTTGAGACAAGGTAAAATGACAAAGGGATCCAGATTATGGAATATTTTATAATGACTTAAAAACTGGCAGTTTTTGTTTATTGTGAAAATACCGTACAGAGGGGTTACAATTCCATGGGCAAGATAATGAGTACATTTCTTATCAAGCATTGTTGTCTCCTCCTTTGTTTCCCCTTCCCATCCCTTCCCATCTCCCACCCCCATCGTCCCCCACTCCCCACCTCGGCAAAGTTGTAAAGTTCGTATTACGACATAATGACTTGTACATCTCATTGTTGCAATGGGTCCACCTGTATCCCTATTTAAACAATTTGTTTTTCCCTTCCCCTCCACAAATTATACCAACATCAAATACAATGAGAGCAGGGGTTATACCGTGGGGGAGGTATGGCAGGTTTTTGAGGAACCCTCTCCTAATGCTGGAACAAAGATTTAAAGTAAATTTTTCTAACATCCTTACTATGGTTGGGTTGAAGTCTCTCATGGCCACTGCCTCTACGGATCTTGGGAACAGGTTGCAAGTGTTAAGCAGACAAATACAGATGCAGTACAATAGTTAGCAAGGGGGAAAGAGAACAAAAAACTTTGCTAAGTCTATTTAAAGCTGCAGGACAGTATCTTTAAAAAGAGAGAGAGAAAGGTGAATAAATCTTACTGAGATTTCTTACAAATAAATTGCAGTTCATTACTCACCTCCTAAAATCATTATGTAGGTACAATATAGTCCATTGTTACTTCTGTTGTAACTAAACCAAAGCACTTAAAATGAGAACTCCTGGATTACTGAAAGCCCTTCCCAGCCACATTTACAGAACTGAGCTCATCTATAACTCCACACCTAAATAAGAGTCACCACAGATCCGATGTGGAAGAAATAGTTGTATTGTCAAAGCTCATAGAATTCACAAACATCATAGACCAAGATAATGACAATTTCCCTTGTGAAGGTTAAAATGTGTTTGTGACTTTAACTAAGTATCACTATCTCACGATACTGTGAAATTTGTCAAATTTATGTAATCACTTAATCTCAATAAAAACTATTTAAAAATAAAAAGTCATGACAGCCATGAAAGTCACCAAAATAAATTATTTACCACAACACTGAGTAGCAATATTATGATACCTCTCCTCCCCGTCCCCGAATCCCCCTACCCCCACCCCCCCCCCCCCGCCATTTCTTTTTCTCTGAGGGGGATAGTACTGGGGTTTGAACTCAGGTTCTTGCTTGTTCAGCTGGCATTCTAACACCTGAGCTATGCCTCCAGCACAATTTTTTGCTGGTTATTTTGGAGATGAAGTTTCTTGGACTTTTCTGCCCAGGCAATCCTGAAGTTGGAAATATAGCTCAGTTGTGAAATAAAATAAAATAAATAGAACAGAAGGGAATAAAAAATAAAATACAATAAAACCCAGGACCTACACATACCAATACAATCTCCATTTCATTTGTTCAATAAAAATTGATTATTTACTATGTGTCAGGAAATATGTTCTGAGAAGACAAAGCTAAATTGGGTAATTTTAACCACAGCAAGTTTATTCTTTCCCTGTCCTCTTTAGATATTGCAGAAGATAATCAAAGTTGAAGAACTGTTTCCAAGTTCAAATACATCACATTCTGGACATGTGCACTGAAACAAGTCAGTTTATCACCGATCCTCAGCTTGCTTTCTGTAAATACAAGGATTACAAATTTTGTCCTTTTGCCTCAAAGGGTACTTGTTAGGCACCAATAACATAAAACTTAAAGAAAATTCTCTCTTCTCTCTCCTTTCTCTTCTCCCCCTTCCCCCTTTTCTCTTTCTCTGAGGGGGATAGTACTGGGGTTTGAACTCAGGATCTTGCTTGTTCAATGGGCATTCTACCACTTGAGCTATGCCTCCAGCACAATTTTTGCTGGTTATTTTGTAGATGAAGTTTCTTGGATTTTTCTGCCCAGGAAAGCCTCTGTATCTCAGCCTCCTCAGTAGCTAGGATCACAAGAATAAACAACAAGCACCTGAAAATACACAGTAATTACTATATTGAAGGTAAGACACTCAGTGTAGCTGTCAACAAACTAGTGACTGCTCTATCCCCAAACTAGAGACTGATGGAGAAAGAATGAATAAATATACATTATAAAAGTGAAAATACTAAAAAGTTCACCAATCTATAAGTAGGAAAAGACTATATTATAAATAGAAAAATTACTGAAATTAAGTCTGTAACTTATGACTTAACAATCCCCTTCAGGAGTAGTTTCTGGTCAAGGTGATGATTAAAATCTTCAACAAGCATCCAGCACAAGTAGCAACCAAGAAGAACAGATGCCAGCTGGAAGCAATCAGAGGCAGAAAGGCTATCCAGTATTAATTATCAGCTGTGAAAAAAAAAAGTACTGTCTCCATGAGCCAAGCACCAGTTACTGACATCTGTAATCCTAGTTACTCAGGAGGCTGAGATCTGAGGACTGAGATTAGAAATCAGCCTGGGCAGAAAAGTCCCTGTGAGACTCAGTTCCAATTAGCCATTCAAAAACCAGAAGCAGAGCTATGGATCAAAGTGGCAGAGCACCAGTGAACAAAAGACTCAGGAACAGCACACCTAGGCCTTTAGCTGAATCCCCACAAATGACAAAAATAAATAAAAATTAATTATCAGCTGTGTCCTAGGAAAAAATGTTTCCTAATCAAGTATCTTGGGTTTTCTGATAGTCAACTATATACACATGCTACCCTAGTGTCACCTTTCGATTCT